ACCCCAGAGGACAGAAATAAATCAATATACAATGAGCCAAAAAGGAGGATCACCAAAGAGGGAAAAATCTCCCATGCTCTCACAGAAAACAACATGGTCGAGCAAGACTGTGACTCATCCTGGAAGCTGACACTGACAGAGGAGCTGGGAGGCTCTGTACATGGTTCCAAAGTAATGCCTGGGGAGACTTAACTGATCGATAGAGAGCAAGAGGTTACTTTTAACACAGGTCTTACTTTAACTTGATCTTAAACACCCAGTAGAAAAGTACAAACAAAAGATGTATGAAAACAATACCATAGTAATAAAAGCTAGACATATAAAAAGGTGCTCCAATTGTTGACCCCTGCTGGAGGTCTTCAGATGACCACTGTTATAGTTTACTAAGGTTAAAAAACTACACTGGAAGCTATAAAAGCTAAGCAAGAGTCCTTAAATTCCTTAGCTAAAATTATCCTTCAAAACCTCCAAACTGTCCATCTCCTTACAACTAAAACTAGAGGGACTTATGACAAGAATTATCAGACTTACAGATAACCTTCATTGGTGGAGGGGTATGATAGCCAACTGGTTACAATCACTATCTCAGTCCCTTAAGAGCAGTTTCTGAATGTGGTTCTTTCCCCAACTTGCCTTTCCATTCTAGTGCTCATGCTCTGATTATACATGTTCTAATTTTTTGGAAAATTTGTTTATTCTTGACTAGAGGCTGTCAAACTCCAAATGTTCATGCAGATGGAACCAATAACAAATGTACCAGACTCCTTTTACCAGGATCCATTAAATGGATCTTATAAAGAGGGTTCATAACTGCTAAACTTCAACATGACTTCTAATGAAGGCCCATTAGGTTAGCTCTCTGGAGAAGTCCCCTGACTGCATTCTCCCCTGCACCAACCCTTCTCAGCTCAGAGCAGCTAGATGGAAGCTACTCCTTCTCCCCTAATGACAGTTAGGGATACTTCTTCAGAAGGAGGAACATTATAGACAGCTAAGTTAGGTAGATATATTACAGGCAGTCAGACAGGGCTGGGTCCCCCAGGGATTCAGTGAAAAAGTGTTAGAGGCATTATAACTGTGGCTAGAGGAACATCTGAGGAAGATTAAAGTCACAATGGCCAGATTTACATACTTCCCTTAGGGATAAATGGAAGTTTGAGATTATTGGTACCACCTATTTGAGACTTCCCATATAAATAAACCATTATCTCATTAGGGAGATACTCCCACCCACTAAGACTGAAACAACTAAGACTAAGACTACTAAATCTAAGAACAAAATTAAGACTAAGCCTATAGATTGTCAACCATGGTTAATGATGTCATCCATATGCTTTTGACACTATCGGGTCAATATTAGCTAAGCAGCTATATTTATAAATCCTATTGGTTGATTACAGTTTGACCTGCATTGTACCCACCTCATGACTTTGCTCTATAAAATTTCCTTAGAAGTGGGCTCATTGGCAACCCACTTAGAACTCCTCCTGTCTCTCAGGAGCTATTTCTGTTTCCCATTCATATCCCCCAATCAATTTTCCTATTCTTAAAACAATAAATAAAAAGTAAAAAATGCAAGCGACAGAGTAAGAGAAGCTGGTTTCAATATGTATATTGGACAAAAGTTTTTGTGCACATGACATAGTATATAGCAACTCCCACAAATTAATAAAAAACAACTGAACATTCAGCTTTAAATGTGGACAAAGACTGAACAGGAGTCTTAGAAGGGGGAAAAGGATATGCCGTGACTAATCAGCATATGAGGAGATATTCGGTGTCACTTGTTATAAAGCAAATGCAAATTAAAACCACAATTAGATATCAGTGTCTACTCAACAGAATAACTAAAGTGAAAAAGAAAATGCTAGTGAAGACAGAGACTACCTTGGAGAATGACTGGATAATAACTGTGTAGTAGAACAAGAGAGAATGCTAGGCAGTAATGCTCTGCTTCAGATCTAGAAATGGTTAAACAGGTGTAAAAATCACCTTGAAAATCCACTGCATTTTATTCTTAACATCTGTGCACTCTTCTACATATGCTTTTCTTGAAATGAATGTGAAGGGATTGTGTGAGCCAAGGTTGAAATAGATAAAGATGGATAATATGTATAGCTAAGGAGTAGACAGACAGGTAGAAGAAAGTACTTGTATGTTTTGCTTGGTTTTGGATGAACAGAAAATGAGGCATTGTCAGTTAGAGCATTTCATTATCCATAAGTTAAAATCCTGCTAATTATTCAGAAGTACAAATCTTCTGGGGATTAAGAGAAGCTGAAAGTATCTTTTACAGATTCTCACCCGAAAAAGGGCACCATGAGAAAGGTGATAGTGCATCCCCAGCAATGTGATTTGGTCTCATTTTGTGGTTGGAAGAAGTGAGTGAAATTACAGCAAAGTGCAAATGAAAAAACAATTTTGTGAGCACTGTGAACTGTCCTGCCTTCTGCTTCCTGGCACTTGCTGTATATATCTATCATACCATTTACCTCACTCAGTTTTCATCTCCTCATCCAACAGCACCATGCCTTTCACATCACACATAATCCATAAAGCTCCCATAACTGAATACATGAATGGATAAGTGGGGGCTGGGGATTTAACTTGGCAGCACAACGCCTGCCTGGAAAGCGCGAGGTCATGAGTTCAATTCCCAGTACCGGGGGGCGGGGGGGATACATAAATGGATAAGTGAATCAGTGATCCACCTGGCACCCAAAAGGGGGTGAAAAGAAATGAGGGGAAACAAACTATGTCTGCTTCATGGTTTGGCAGTAGGCAAAAGCTTTGACATGTATTTTTCAACCTAAGACAGATATTACTGATAAAGACAGATATAAATGACCTGCAGCGCCATAGAACCAATTTAGAGATTGTCATTTGTTAATTCTATGCAGAAGCAAGCAATATAACTTCACAATACATTTCTACATTGGCATGCTTTTAAAAACTTTCTTATTCTACCCTGAAAATAGCTACACTGAAAACAAGTCAGTATAAAATGTATGATGCTGTCCTAAAGTTGGAAGCAATTGAGGGAGAAACCGCTAGTTTAAGACTTTACTGCTTGAGCTAACTTCAGATTTTGTTCTGCAAACCTTTTTTCTGGTAAAAGTTTCATTTCTTTACTCCTCCTCACATTTTAGCCCAGTCTTTGGCTCAGCTGGCAGATGACAGAACCTTCTTGTAGCTATAATTGCATTTGTCACTTTGGTATCAATGTGTCCTGTCTCTGAGGATTGGTGTAGCCTTGTCTCTAAGTGAAACTATCTGTCTTGTATTTCCCTTCTGAGTGAAATTTATGAGGTAGAGCATTTGAATTGCTCATCTTTCTCTAATTCAGTCATCATTCTGACACTGCAGTACCTCAGAATTTTCCCTTTTACTGAAGAAAAAATAATCCCTCTCCTTTTTGCTGTCCTGACTTTCTGTATAGAAAACAGGCAGCAGAAAACAGGGCCAGAACCAGCGGAGCACCTATACCAACACCGTGCAAACATCTTCCCAGCTGAGGCTAGATACATTAAGAACACTTCATTTACAGCTGATTCATAATCTTTATCTTCTTAGGCCTCTAGTTTTACTGAGTCAACTGACTAAAATGTGAAAGCTCTTAAAAATAGTGCATTTAGTCCAGTATCTTCCAAATCACGAGTCTCAAGCAAACATGTAGCTCATTAATTATGTGGAAAAGAATTCAAATACGAAGCCTTCATGAGGCAGACCCATGGAAAAGATCATTTCCATCCACATGGAAAGATCATTTTCAAAAAATAAGAGCAATGTTGTATAGTCTTCTTTTATTTTTCCTTATTTCCAATTCCAGGAATGGTTCCTTGAAGTTGGAACTATCTTAAAAATAAGAATAATAAGTATTTTTGACTGTTTTTTTAGACCAACTCCTGTATAACTGCTTGCTTGCTGTGCTTTCTCTAGTGACTGGTTTAGACTATTAGGAAATAATGTGATAGATGAGGAAAAAATGTGTCTGTTAAAAATTTACAACTTAAAATAATATCAAGTCCTAGACCAAGATCTAGATGTCAGACAACCCAGCCTTTACTTGTAATGGTATGGGTTGAGTTCATTGAGGCCTGCACCCACCTGAATCTGATAAAATGAACTCTACAATCTCTAATATTTTTTCGAGTCCTAAAATCTAGTTATTCTCTAAATCCTGTAAGGTCCCTAAGTCATAAGGAATTAGCACAAGTAGCCGGATAAATCATACTTTCTGCTTCTATTTCCCACACATTAGCCTTAGGAGCGCCTCAAAATTAAAAGTCAAAAACTCAAGAATTATCGTTTCCTGCACTCCTTTCCACTTCCATATCCAGTCATCGCAGGTCTCATGCAGAGGAGCATTAACAGTTCCAGTTATCTGCAAATACAAGCACTTTCTCCAATCCAGTTGTTTGTTTGTTTGTTTTATCATAAAGCTCAATTAGTCTATCTGTCCCTGATTCCCATGTCGGTCACCCAGCTAGCCCAAACTTGGGCCTGGGATGTGAGGAAAATCATTTATTTCTTCTTTTTTATTTTTTTAATTTGAAAGAGAAAAAATAACAAAAACAATGATACAAAACTTCAAAACAAGATAATAGGAGAGTGACAATGGTTAATGTATTGCATATTGCTGTCTTCAGATTACAAGATATAGGCATGAAAAACTGACCAAACAATATATGCACAAACCTTTCTTTTAAATGAACTAATAGAAATTAGTAGTATAACTATCTTAACTATTTCATATTTTTTAATATTTATTTATTTTTCCTTTTCCTTCCCTTTTTTCTCCTTTCCCTCATCCCAGTTTCTCTTTCCTTATGAAACAGTTTCTTCCCATTTCCCATTATTTCTTGTACGTTTTGGGGGAAATCATTTATTTACCACAACCATAGTTCAAAATCTCAACAGGTACTATCACCTGCCACCTTCGATTGATGGACGGAGAGGATCGCCTAGGTAGTGGTCATTTTTCTTTTGTTATGTTTTACCTGATGTTTCTTCAGTGTTGATGGCAGAGATACCCCTTCTGCATATGGACCAGCATATGCTTCCAAAGTCCAGACTCTTCCTACACCATCTTCAGAAAAGAGCCTCGCCCTGAACCCTATTGAGATTGAGAGAGATAAGGCTTATGTAGGGCATGGAAGCTTAGAAGCATCGCCACACACTTCATGTTTGGACAACACAGATAGCTCATCCAAACCTTCTGAGTGCCTTATCTTATTTTTACGGGTATTTGATAGTGTTCATTTCCAGATGATAAGTAAAATATTTTTTCTTTGTTCAAAGGTATCAACAAGGTCTATTTGTGATTTAACAAGGTCTATTTGTCTAATCCAGAAGATCCAGATCATAATGTCAGTTTAATGATACTTGATGAGCCAACCCTTGGAGGAAGTTCTGAGATGATATCTCTAGGAAGCACAGGGAAGAAGGATTTCTATTTTCTATGATGATTTCCAAAGAGTTCCTATAATTCTGGAGCAGCTGCTATGAAAAGAAACTCTGTAATTCAAATCTGAGACACCATAGTGGAAGTTCCTCCCAAATTAAAAAGTAGGGAATCACAGAGGACAACAAAACCTTATGCATTATTCATACTTGTACTTCTGGATCATGCATACCTATCATGAAAGCTGAGGATGCTTTCAGTTTATATTACAAGTGATTTAGATTTTATATGCCTATTTATAAAATGCCATATCAGCTCTCAGAAGCAGTATGAGTTTGATGGCTTCATTTTCTATGAGGATGCTTTATAACATTGATTATTCTAAGCCTTAAAAGGTACAGATGATAAAAGCACTATAATAATTCTCGCACAAAGCAACAGCTGGAACAGCTTACCTCAAAAGTTGTTGGTCTTCTTTGCTACACTGCAAAAGAAAGATGCATCATGAGTCTGTTTCCTGAGGACTGGCTCTTCACCACACCAGCCAGATACGCAACATCTGTGTGAAAATAAAAATTATAATCCCCACATAAATGTTCTCCCCAAAGAAAGGAGAAGAAATCTGAGATTTTAAGACATTTCATACGGGAACTTGAGGCTACAGAAAGAAACTTAGTAAAGTGAATGAAAAATGAGAAACTTGGGCTGTGAAAGGGTCATCTTGGGGAAATTTGAACCATACGGACATGTAAAAGAAAGAGATTTTGGTTTTAAAAAAAATTTGAATGAGATATACAGTCACTGATAACTTATAAAGCCACATAGCCTCGCATCCCTGCTTACATTTTTCCAATGGTGTTGCTCAAGTGCGGTGCAAATGCAGATGCTCCTCAATTTAGGATGACTTCACTCATTCTTTTTCTACTTGATTCCAGTGTGAAAGCAATGTGAATCTGGTAGACACCATACCTTGAATTTTGAATTTTGCTCTTTTCCCAGACTAGCAATAGGTGGTCTGATGTCTCTGGTGCTACCACCCAGGGAGAGCCACAGAGTCAAGTCAGCCATGTGATCCCAAGAGGAGAAAACTTCTACTTTGCAGAGTGCCGTGTGGCTGGGCTGGGACATTCAGGAGGGCTGGGTGAATTTGATGCCCTTCTATTTAATATATTCAATTTATGATAGGTTTACCAAGTTGTAATCCCACTGCAAATTGACACACATCTGTGCATGGATTTTAACAACCCTGAAGAGCCAGTCAGTTATGAAGAAAGCACAGACTGAGTGATCTAGTGTTTATGCCACTTATGGTGGTAGGAGGCATCATTTTGGCTGTGTAGGATTCTCGGGGTAGGCAGTGGCAGGGCATGCAGCAGAGGCGGGGAAGTTCCTGCAGAGAAACACACTGGTCTGCATTTGCTGTATACATCATTTCCTGGAAGCTGGACATTACTGATGACTCTTCTACAAGGAGGCCGCAAAGCAACCCCAAGCCATGACTCAACCCTGACCTCTGGGTCCCCCGATTGCCCAATGCGAGCAAAGGGCAGAGACACCCAGTGTTACAGCGAGTTTTCCCTCTTGGTTTGTTTAAATTCTGGGCCTAATTATTTTTCAGGAAAAAATGACAAAAACGAAAACAGAACACAATCAAGAAAGCTGGTCTCCTTTCCACCTCCTTCAGAACTTATCCCCCATTTCCAACAAAGTAAAACCTGCCATTTCACAGCAGTAATCCTCCAATTGTCTCTCCGTTTTAAAGCTTTTCTGATCTTTCAATGGAATTGATTTCCATAAGAACCAGACTGTGGTTGGCAGGTAGTTCATGCTTCACGGCCCTGCCTGCATTGGGTTGCCTCCTGCTCATCCACCCTGATCCTTTCAGGATACTTGAAAAAACACAAATATGCCCTTTGTCAACAGCATAAGCTACTGCTCCAACAAGTCTGTAAGTAGCAGGAAAAATCGGAGCCTAATAATACAAACCAGGCCTTTTTTTAAGCCCCGGAAATAAAGTCAAACACTGGTAGAAAGAAAGTGTTGTGTGCTGTCACACTTGCGCCCTTAACTAGTCCTGCGCTCTTCAGAGTGTTTCTGCCCAAACTCCTCTGATCTGATTGATGGCAGCCTCCTCACTTCCCCAGCTTCCTGTGTGGTCCATTTTCCCACCCCGCTTAGCATTACCTATAGACGGAACCCACCAACACATGCTTAAAACTGAGTCTACCTTCCTGGAAAAACTCATTGTTTCCAGCCAGTTCAATATCATCTACACCCTGATCAGTGACTTTGCCCTATAGTTGATTTTTGTCTCTAAAATAAAGGTGCTGCTCAGCCGTAGGGAAGGATAGACTTGAGACATTTGTGGGTGGATGGATGCACCTTGAGACCGTGCTCCTGAATGGAACGGATCAGACAGAGGTGTGAATATCACATCGTCTCTCTGGTGTGAGAAACTGAAGGTGTAAATGGGGACCAGGATGTATAAGAGATGTTGTGAAATATGAAGGGATTGTTGAGGAGGAGGGGGGAGCTGGTAAGGGGGAAGGGGAGGAAAGGAAAAGAAAACCATGAGTAAAGAAAGATAAAATGAAAACAAAGCTTTGTAAAAAACGAATGGAAGAGGAGTTGAGTGAGGGGAGGGGAATGGAAAAGGAGGAGTCAATATGTATACACCATGTACAGGTACAAATTCCCAATAATGAATGTGATCATTGTGTTCACCTAATTGTACCAATAAAGTTAATTTTAAAAAAGGATACAGAATAAAAAAAAAATCTAGGTTCAAATTGCAGTTCATCCACTTATTAGCTAAATGAGTTTGATCACACCATTCTCAACTCATTCATTGCCTTGGGATATTGCTACAGGACCAAAATCAAGGGTCTTTTAGCAAGAAAGGAAGAAATAAGAAAGCAGCTCAAAAGTACCTACCACAGCTTTTCTTCCACAAACCCCTTGATGTGATTTGTATTATTTTAATGGGAGTTTCTTGTTGTTGGGGGATAAAAATGCAATATCATTATTCGTACTCCATCTCTAGGAATTTCTTCCACTATGGAGGCAGGACCTTGCTGATGAAGCACTGCTATACTTGACTTTTCTCCCTGATCCAGTATGTGAAAATAGGTCAGAGACGGTTTGGGGACAGGGGCTGGGGGTGGCCCTGAAAAAAAGACATTAAAATTGCAAAACATTCAATTAACTGAAATAGGAACTTTTTATTTATTGTTATCAGTGAGAAATCAGAATTTAGAAATAAAGAAAAAATAAAATAAAGGTGTTTCTGCAGCTGTGATAAAAATATTGGAGAAACAAAATTTGCTGTTTCATTTAGGGAGTAATAATGTTCTATGATTCAGTTGATCTACTTAAAGGAAAAAAAAGTAATAGTGGCTTATAAACTCTAGATATTTACTTCATTCTCTAAAATGGAACAAGTGATCATGGGTTGGAGTAGCAGCTCACAGAGGCAGTCAACTATCCACACTGCACCTACATCTCATGCCATTTGTCAAATATGGCCTTTCCCTAATGGTCCAAGATGGAGGGTGAAGCTCCAGCCATCACATACATGTTTCAGATAAGCTTGAGGGAGAAGGGTCCTCTTCTACCTCTTTTCATTTAGGCAGACTATATTATCTTATGTGCAAAAGAGATTAGGGCATGTTTAACAGCGATGTGCCAGCTAAAACTCTGCACTCTTTTGCCTAAAAGGGAACAATGGATGAGACAAGTTATGCAGCACTTCTCGTCACACACGTCTCATACGAGTTTGGATAACTGACTGCTACCTATGCGATCCTCTCCACCCCTCATCGAAGGTGGCAGGCACTCTTCTCTCTGTGCTAAGTCCATTACATTTGTGGTTCCATTTACCCTCCCAAGAACAGGGATTATTAAGGCTGGGATTATTATTAATCACATTTTACAAATAAAAAAAAATAAGTGTAGAGAAGTAAGTTTCTCAAGGTCATAGTGCTTGTAAGTCACAGGAAATATAAGCCTAAGTCTTTTATGTAATTTCAGAGCCTGAGCCCTTCGCAAGTTACACTGTGTCATGTAGAGAAACCCTACACAAGTCACGGTGACACTTTTGAAGTCAGTGGAGATTAATGCCAGTAACCAATCTCCTATAGTATAGTCAAAGTAAATAAAAATTAACCTATTATATTAACCACCAACTGTGACACATTTTAATTAGGAGCAGATAACATGTAAAATAGCAAAGCCCGAGAATATACAGTGTCATCATGAAATGAAACTTACAATAAAATTAACATTTAAAATCAATAAACATGAGTGAATGGCATAGAAACAATTTTCAGAATCTGTCTGTTCTTATTTATAAAATAATAAGCATTTAAATTATTTGGAAAAACAGTTCTAAGATTTCTCAAGGTGTCAACATTATTATGTTTCTGTGTAGTCAAAACACTGAGATAAATCAGCATTATGAGCTGTTTCTCTTTTGCTACCTTCCTAGTCTAAGCGTGACAGACATGCTAAAGTTGCTCCATCACATTCAATCAGTAGATGCAAGATTGCATATTTAACATTTACCTTAGTTCCATTATTTCACTATTCTAAATCGCTAGATCTATATTGAGCACAAATGAGAAAACTGCTAGGCCACTCTCCCGTAACATCTCCTTCTTTGTTAGTGGTGCAGTTTTCATCATCAGTGTTACCAGAGGCGG